AGGTCAGGAGTTCAAGACCAGCCTGGCCAACATGGCAAAACCCCATCTCTACTAAAAATACAAAATTAGCCAGGCATGGTGGCATATGCCTGTAATCCCAGCTACTTGGAACGCTGAGGCAGGAGAATCGCTTGAACCTGGGAGGTGAAGGTTGCAGTGAGCTGAGATCATGCCATTGCACAGCAGCCTGGGCAAGAAGAGCAAAACTCTGTCTCAAAAATAAATAAATAAATACATATATACATATATACATACATACATACATACAAGAACTAGCCTACCTGTGATCCCAGCTACTCGGGAGGCTAAGGAAGGAGAATTGCTTGAACCTGGGAGGCAGATGTCTCTGAGCCGAGATTGTGCCGCTGCATTCCAGCCTGGGTGACAGAGCAAGACTCCATCTCTTTTTTTTTCCCATCCAAAAAAATAAATAAATAAATTAAAATATGAGACCTGAGCCCAGATCTGGCGCTGGATCACAAGCTTTTAATCACAAAGTGGTTGAATTGCCTTTTTTTTTTTTTTCCCTTTTTTTGAGACAGAGTCTCACTCTGTCACCCAGGCTGGGGTGCAGTGGCGTGATCTGGGCTCACTGCAACCTCCGCCTCCTGGTTCAAGCGATTCTCGTTCCTCAGCCTCCTCAATAGCTGGGATTACAGGCACACGCCACCATGCCTGGCTAATTTTTGTAATTTTAGTAGAGATGGGTTGGCCAGGCTGGTCTTGAACTCCTGACCTCAAATGATCTGCCCTCCTTGGCTTCTAAGGTGCTGGGATTACAGGCATGAGCCACTATGCCCGGCCTGAATTGCCTTTTACTTTGCACATGAATATTTTCTAACTTACCTATCAAGTGAAACTCAAGAGGAGAATACATGTATGCACAAAGGATTTTGCAGTTCCCTTCCCCATGGCTGACAGCCAAGGTATCTTTCCTTATTATGGGGCTCTGGATACAGGATGGACTGTACTCAAGCCAGAGCTACCTGTCCTTCTCGTTTCCTCAGGTCTGTAACATTGTGGCTGGGCAACGCTGTATTAAAAAGCTGACCGACAACCAGACTTCGACCATGATAAAGGCCACAGCTAGATCCGCTCCAGACAGACAGGAGGAGATCAGTCGCCTGGTCAGTGGGCCTACTCATTTGCTCAGTCATTGGGGCCATTGGTAGCATAAATGTTTTAATGCCCCAGCAGGACCTTCCTTCAGGAGAACCCAAGTCTAGATTTGTTGCCTAGGACTCTATACGGCTGCTCTTCTTTCTTATCGTATAGCTGCTTTGCTTTCTATCTCTTTTTCTCTCCTGTATTACTTTGCTGTGTTATCCTGTCACTTCCCTCATCTTCCACTTTCCCTCTCTTTTTAGGACTATTCTGTACCAACCCCAGCTTCTCCTTAGGGTTCTCTCCTTGATACCCAGAGGGTGAGCATGGGTGAGCAGTATTGCCAAGCTCTTGCTCTCCTGAGATTGCTCTCTTTTGTCCTGCAGATGAAGAATGCCAGCTACAACTTAGATCCCTACATCCAGGAATTTGGGATCAAAGTGAAGGATGACATGACGGAGGTGACAGGGCGAGTGCTGCCGGCGCCCATCTTGCAGTACGGCGGCCGGGTGAGCAGGGTCAGGGCCAGACAACATCTCAGGGTATATGGGGGTGGTTGGTTTGTATAGCCAGGGGCTTTTGCTCCCCTACCCACCTGACTCTACTGAGGCTCACCTGGGCGCCCCCTCTGCCTATCCGCAGAACCGGGCCATTGCCACACCCAATCAGGGTGTCTGGGACATGCGGGGGAAACAGTTCTACAATGGGATTGAGATCAAAGTCTGGGCCATCGCCTGCTTCGCACCCCAAAAACAGTGTCGAGAAGAGGTGCTCAAGTAAGGAGGGTTCGGTGTAGGGGTGGAAGGGTGGGAAAGACCCTGGAGCTGCCTACCTTCCTGTAGTCCCCAGGGGCCGATACTGATCAGTAATGTGTTCTGTCTTAACTCTGCCTGCATTGTGCTTTCTGGCTCAAACTTCTACCAGTTCCTTTTCTATCGATCTGTGGTCAGGGGAAGTTAATAAGGAGCCATATCTATGTCAAAGATGATGATTTTAGGGCATGAATCTCCTAAGAGAGGCCTGAATTATTTTATTGTTATAATTATCATTGGTAATAAATAGTAGTAGTGATGACTGTAATGTTTACACCAAAATTGTACTTAAGTACCTAATTTTTATTCTCTCATTTCATCTTTACAGTGAGTAGGTGGTGATATGTCCATTTTCAGGAGACTGAGGCTCAAAAGAGGTTAAGTAACTTGTCCAAAGTTTGCACATCATCAGGAAAGTGTCAGAGTTGGAAGCAAATCAGATCTGAGCTTCAAAACTTGTGTTCCTAATTGGAAACAAAATAGAGCAGCTTGTTTATCTGGTTGTCAGGGCCTCTGTGCCACCGTAGCTGGGAGTAGATGGCACCAATGAAGAAAGTGTTTAAGCCAAATGATCTAAAGAAACCAGGCAGTAATGGCTTGAGAAGTCAACAACCCCTCCCCTGGAGTCTTTTTTTTTTTTTTTTTTTTTTTTGAGATAGAGTCTCGCTCTGTAGCCCAGGCTGGATTGTAGTGGCGTGATCTCGGCTCACTGCAAGCTCCATCTCCCGGGTTTACGCCATTCTCCTGCCTCAGCCTCCCGAGTAGCTGGGACCACAGGCGCCCGCCACCACGCCTGGCTAATTTTTTGTATTTTTAGTAGAGATGAAGTTTCAGTGTGTTAGCCAGGATTGTCTCGATCTCCTGGCCTTGTGATCCGCCTGCTTCGGCCTCCCAAAGTGCTGGGATTACAGGCATGAGCCACCACACCCGGCCCTTTTTTTGTTTGTTTGTTTGTTTGTTTTATTGAGATAGGTTTAAAATGCCACAAAACTCACAGTTAGTTGTTTCCTACATATAGCATACAGTTAGTTGGTTATTGCCATGTTTTGAAGTGGTTGCTTCTCATAGTCTCTGGATCTGGAGTGGGATCAGCACACTGTAGGGATGAGGAAGAGCTGATGGAGCCGACCGTTTTGGCTAGACAAGGGTAGTGGGGAAGTATGCTGTGATGAATTCAGCTGACCTTGGAGTCATGAGAATTCGTTCTTAGCTGGGGTGCAGTGGTGCGTGCCTGTAATCCTGGCTACTCAGAAGGCTGAGGCAGGAGGATCACTTCAGCCCAGGAGTTTGCTGGGCAATATAGATTCTATAAGTTCCAGGTCAGGCACGGTGGCTCCTTTCTGTAAACCCAGCAGTTTGGGAGGCTGAGGTGGGCAGATCACGAAGTCAGTAGTTTGAGACCAGCCTGGCCAATATGGTGAAACTCCATCTCTACTAAAAATACAAAAATTAACCAGGCGTAGTGGCATGTGCCTGTAGTCCCAGCTACTCAGGAGGCTGAGGCAGGAAAATTGCTTGAACCCAGGAGGTGGAGGTTGCAGTGAGCTAAGGTTGTGCCACTGCACTCCAACCTGGTGACAGAGCGAGACTCAGTCTCAAAAAAAAAAAAAAAAAAAGTTCTAACAGCTCCTGATGGATCTGGGGACTATGGGACCTGCCCTTGTTCTTCTTCCCTTACCGCTCACGGCTGCACAAACAACCATCATAATTGTGGTTCCTTGCAAATGGGTTCTTGTCTCCTTTCCTGAGTTATTTTTTTTTTTTTTTTGAAACGGAGTCTTGCCCTGTAGCCCAGGTACAGTGGCACGATCTCGGCTCACTGCAAGCTCCGTCTCCTGGGTTCACGCCAGACTCCTGCCTCAGCCTCCTGAGCAGCTGGGACCACAGGCACCCGCCGCCATACCCAGCCAATTTTTTGTATTTTTAGTAGAGACGGGGTTTCACCGTGTTAGCCAAGATGGTCTTGATCTCCTGACCTCGTGATCTGCCCACCTCGGCCTCCCAGCGTTCTGGGATTACAGGTGTGAGCCACTGCGCCTGGCCTTTTTCTGAGTTCTTTAGCCCCTATTTAAGCCAGCCTGCTTGGCAGTATTGGAAAGGCTCCCAGCTTTTTGCCTTTGTGCCATAGTCTCTTCATAGTAGTTCTATTCTCTGTGTGCTCTTGTGTTTCTCCCATGTCCTTCCCTTGTCCATTTCTTTTGGGATAATCTATTGTTTTGGCCATTTTGGGGTATGGGCACCAATAAACCCAGAACCTCAAACTTGGAAGAGTTTATCAGACATTCCCTTCCCCCAGTGACACCTAGTTGTAAGGGGTAAGAATGTGGCTTTTTCATGTGGGTCATTAGTAGCCAGTTAAATCTGTGGTTCTGACTGGGCTAACGGTAAAGATTTCCAAGTCATCTATGGCAGTGGCTGAGATTGTCCAGTGAGAATGTACATAGTAAGTGGAGATTGAAGATACAACTTAGAGGAACTGGAAAATAAACAGAGCAAAGTCCCTAAGTGTGTATGGGGTGATGGGATCCAGAGCACTGAGAAAGGGCATCCTTTCCACTGAGAAAGTGGGAGAAGACATGAGGGTGCTATGGGGTTCGACAAACTAGTAGTTGGGGGATGATGGATGATAGAGTTCTAGATGCAACCCTCAATTTTTTTCTGGCTAAAGAGGCCCTATTACTTTAGCTATATCACCTTTAAGATGGGATTTTAGGACCTTCCTCATGTTAAACATCTCACAATAGTTTGTGGCCCCCAGCACTGGACACAGTATTCCAAGTGTAGTCTGGTAGTAGAGAGAAGATTGGAAATACGTCTTTCCTTGAAGTTGAGACCCACTATTCATGAAATCTGATAACATACTGGCTTTTTAATAGCTACATTGCAGTTGTATACAGGGCAGAGAAATGGAAAACATACTATTAATGGTCAAAGCCCTAGCTGTTATTTACGTGAAACAGTGGTTAGGTAATGTTTTTTTATTCTAACATTCATTTTGAAAAAAATTTTTTAAGATAAATATAGAGAATAACATGTATCCATCCAGTTTTGTCATATTTATCCTTTTTTAAATGTAAATATTACAGGTAAATTTGATGTTCCTTCATGTCCTCCATCCTAGTCCCATTCCTCCCTTCTTTTTTTTTTGACAGAGTCTCGCTCTTGCCCAGGCTGGAGTGCAGTGGCACAATCTTGGCTCACTACAGCCTCTGCCTCCTGTTTCATGCAATTCTCCTGCTTCAACCTCCTGAGTAGCTGGGATTACAGGCACTCACCACCATGCCCAGCTAGGTTTTTTTGTGTTTTTGGTAGAGACAGGGTTTCATCAGGTTGGCCAGGCTGGTCTCGAAGTCCTGACCTCAAGTAATCTGCCTACCCTGGCCTCCCAAAGTGCTGAGATTACAGGTGTGAGCCACTGTGCCGGCCCCATTCCTCCCTTCTGATGAAGCCACTGTTATGAATTATTGTAACTATCCTATTCAATTTATATACCTATATATAAATGATTTTAAATTTTGCATAATAGTATTTACCATATTTATTTTTCTTGTGTGTTTTTACTAAATATGTGAAAAAATACTTTCTCACAAAACTATCACATTGCTATTTATATGCTATATAATAATCTCTCTTAAACAACTGCTTCCATGGTCGTCTTGTACGTTGTTTTTAAATTTAAATGGAAGATTATCACAAATTAAATTTCCTGCTGCTTATTTCAGTTTTTGAGTATCTTTATGTAGCTTGATTTTTTTACTCTACTGCATGTGTGTCCTCTCTTCCAACTTTGTCTTCCTTTCCAGGGTAAAGCCCTAAAGCCAAAGGAAGGAAGCTTAATAATTGGCTCTTAGGTTTCAAAGAACCAGTTGGGAAGGAGGGAACTCATTTTTACTGAGCATCTCCTGTGCTCCCGTCACTGTTGGAACCTCTGCTTTGAGCAGAAAGGCCTTACACATGGGCATCTGCCTATTTCTTTGGACATGTAATGGAGCACAGGAATCAGCTGCTTGAGTGGGGCAAGGTGGGAACCCTGAGAATTCCCATAGGTCCCTTTTCTGGGCTTCCTCATCTCCTTGCTTGTACCATCGAACACTTAGCAAGTACTCTCTTACCTTACTCAACTATAAATGTATTTTTTACATTAGCTATTATTGTGTATCATTCATGTTAGAATCTCAGTGTTAGCTGGGTGCAGTGGCTCATGCCTGTAATTCCAGCACTTTGGGAGGCTGAGGTGGGAGGATCACTTGAGTCCAGGAACTTGAGACCAGCCTGGGCAACATAGTGAGATCCCATCTCTACTAAAAAGAAAAAAAGTTAGCCAGGCATGGTGGCATGCCTCTAGTCCTATCTACTCAGGAGGCTGAGATGGGATGATTGTTTTAGCCTGGCAGCTCGAGGCTTGAGTGAGCCCAGATTGTGCTACTGTACTCCATCCTGGATGACAGAGCACCCTGTCTCAAGAAAAAAAACCAAAAAACCAATCTCTCAGTGCCTCTTACAGTGCTAAACACCTAAGATGGATGGATTTTTGTCAGAAGAATTCAAGTGAGACTCACTGCCTCCTTTGTGACCATGCATGTGTACAGGAACTTCACAGACCAGCTGCGGAAGATTTCCAAGGATGCGGGGATGCCTATCCAGGGTCAGCCTTGTTTCTGCAAATATGCCCAGGGGGCAGACAGCGTGGAGCCTATGTTCCGGCATCTCAAGAACACCTACTCAGGGCTGCAGCTCATTATTGTCATCCTGCCAGGGAAGACGCCAGTGTATGGTACAGTTCTCTTGGGACAGTGATAATGGTGATAGGACTTTTCTCAGCGTAGCTCCCTGGGGTCTCCTGGGAAGGACTCAGTCTAGAGTCTTGGCTTTGACCAGAGCTGTTACTTAATGTCAGTGCTCCTCTTATAGGAGAAATAGCATGCCTGAGCCGTTGAGTGATTCCAGATCCTAATTATCTGCACACACTCCTTCCCAACAACATTTACTGGGGTCCTTTGTGTGCTGGTCCTTATGCCAGGCTAAGCTGGGCCAGGTACAGAGATGGGTTGGTCTAGATTCCTATCCTTAGGAGTGCGTTGTTTATCTGGACATTGTGCAGCACAACCAAGCAGAATAGGTGGTCCTGTTAGTATCGTGTTGCCTGGTAATTACTTGGACTTTTTGAGAGACTTGCTATCTCTCCTCTTTTCCTCTCATTTTTTAGAATAAGAATGACTATATAAATTTCTGTCACAGCACTTTTCTTTTATGCCATTTTCCGTCTCCATCTCTCCTGCTTCGAAGGAGTAAGAGTTCCTCTTACCTTGTTCAACTCCTCTGTGTTCTCTTTCCCAACCCATCCTGCTACCTTTGGGACTTCATACCTTTCAACCCTCAAATATATTCAGATCCGCCATCCTAATGCACATTACCACAAATTTGCCATCTCTTTTAGCTTTTGTCTTCCTGTTTCCTTCATTAAACTTTTTGAGGCCTGGTACAGTGGTTCACACCTGTAATTGTAGCACTTTGGAATGCCAAGGTGAGAGGATCGCTTGTGCCCAGGAATTCGAGGCCACTCTGGGCAACAAAGCAAGACCTCATCTCTACGAAACAATAAAGTTAGCCAGTCATGTTGTGCACCTGTGGCCCCAGCTACTTGGGAGTCTGAGGCTAGAGGATTTCTTGAACCCAAGAGGTTGAGGCTGCAGTGAGCCGCAATTGTGCCACTGTACTTCAGCTTGGGTAACGTAGTGATGAGACCTTGTCTCAAAACAAAACAAAAAAAACCTTTTTGAATGAGTTCTCTGTATTCTCTGTGTCTCTTTCAGCCATCTTGCCTTCTGTCTACCTTTCTCCTAAATCTCTGCACAGGCTTGCCAATGACTTTTCTCAGTTGTCCTCTTGACTTCTGGATATTTTCTTCTATCTCTCCTTATTTATTTTTGTCATTACTAGGAATCCTTGGTGTTCTACAGGTTCCTGTTGTCTGCCTTCTCATTCTGCCTTTACATTTTATTAAAATTCCCATTCATTTCAGTTGCTTCAATCATCACCTATTATTATATGTGATTAAAATCTTGATTCAACCCTTGAACCCTCTGCAACTTCTGTCTGTCCCTTTGGCCTCTCTGCCTTTCTTCTTCAAGAGGTTATTGATCACCTATTATGTATGGAACACTGTGCAAGATCTGGATATATTGATGAATAAAACAGATATAGTGTCTGCTCTTAGAAAATGTTTTATTGGACCATCTCTTCAGTAGTTTGTCCTCTCTATAAACCTTGTCTTTCCTACTTCTGTATTTGACATCACAGTTGCTTCTAAGTACCTTCATTCAAACTTTGGAGACAGTCTGTCCTTTTGCTTCACCTTCATTGTTCTTCTTCACATTTTTCTCAAGATAATACGCCCTGCTCTTGATCCACACTTCTCAACTGAGTTCTAACCTTCCTTTTTTTCTTTTTTTTGAGACAGAGTCTTGCTCTGTTGCCCAGGCTGGAGTGCAGTGGTGCCATCTCAGCTCACCACAACCTCCGCCTCCCGGGTTCAAGTGATTCTTGTGCCTCAGCCTCGAAAGTAGCTGGGATTACAGGTGCGCACTACCACTCCTGGCTAATTTTTGTATTTTTAGTACAGATGGGGTTTCACCATGTTGGCCAGGCTGGTCTCGAACTCCTGACCTCAAGTGATCTGCCCGCCTCGGCCTCCCAAAGTGCTGGGATAACAGGCATGAGCCACCATGCCCTGCCTCAAGACTTTCTTGAATGGGTTCCAAGTAAGACTTTTTGTGACTCTACTATCAAAAATACCTTCATTGGTTACTATTAATTACTGCATAAAGGGTTTTAATGGACCTGATCTTAGTTAAATGTTTTCAGCTTTATCTTGCACTGTTCGCTTGCCACTCATACTGGAATGATTGCTGGTTCTGGAATTGTTGAAGAGAGCTGAATTTGAATTTAATCCTGGCTATACCAGTCAACTGGCTTGGACACATTACCTAACCGTTCTGAGCATCATGAATTAATTATATAAAAAGCAGAATCTAGCACAGTGCCTGGCATGTAGCTGACACTCTGAGTGCTCGTTTCTTGTCTGTGGTTTTCAATCTCTGGTTTTGTTCACGTCATTTGCCTTTACTTGGAATATCTGTATCCTCTTCTTCTTGTCCCTCACCTTGCCCTTAAAATTCTCTCCATCCTTTAATACCCGGTTTAAATACTACTTATTTTTTATTCTTGACATTTCACCTGGAGAGTGAACTTGTCTCTTTCTGGATTCCTCTAGTGTATCAGACCACTGATCAGTTACTGCCTTACTTGATACTTTGTTGTGGAGTGGATCCCATTCTGCTCTGAAATCTTTCCTCTCTGTATACACACCTAAGGGAGTGCCTTTCACTGATATGATACTTAGTAATTAACTTATGGAGAGAAGTTGTTTGATCTTCAGTCCTTGTCTTTCTTGGGCCCTTGTATGGATGATAAGGATGCTTTTTAGGAGAACTTCCTTGAGAAAGTATTCATGTTTCTGATTTCCCTCCATTAAAGGGAAAATCCAGTGTTTTGGCTTGGGAATGGTACAGCATGCTTGGGAAAGGCAGTACTTACTCAGAATTTTCCCTTTTCTGGGCTCAATTATGTTACACTTCTCTCTAGCCTCAGATATTTTATTGGGACCTCGAGTTTCTTTCATTTACATGCAGTTCCTTGATTATATCACCTGGACAATCTGACTGGTACTCTTTTTCTGCTGGCTTAGTTCCTAGGCAGTGGAGTCATTTGCCTAGGAACTAAGCCAGCAGAAAAGAGCAGCCGTCAGACTCTTCTAAAGACCCTTCACCATCCCTCCTGGGAAGCTGGGTAAAATGGCATCCTCCTTGTGATGGTCAAAACAAGGTCCCATTGGCATTTGGTTGCGCTGAGAGTGTAGAAGGACAGTGTCACATTTGCCCTGTTCTGATCAGGTAGTATACCTATCCTGTCTTTAGTATATTTAATTGCTTCCTCTCCACTAAACTGATATTTTTTTTTAATGTAAACTTTTTATTAAATTGTATATATAGAAATCTTACATGTTCAGCTTAGTGATATTTCATAAAGTGTCACAACAGCGTAACCAGCACCCAGTTCAGCAGCAGAACCTTACCACAGCCCCAGTCACTACAACCTCCTACCAGTGGTAACCACTATTCTGGCTTCTAATACCATAGGTTAGTTTTGCCTATATTTAAACTTTATATAAATAGAATCATATAGTATATACTTTTTTTGTGTCTGACTTCTTTCATGCAACATAAAGTTGTGGTTTGTTATAGTTTTTCCATCATATGAATATAACACAATTTCCATCTATTTATCTGTTCTGTTAATGTACATATTTGAATTGTTTCCAGTTTTTGACTATTGAAAATAATGCTTCAGGCTGGGTGCAGTGACTCATGCCTGTAATCCTAGCACTTTGGGAGGCCGAGGCAAGTGAATCACCTGAGGTGAGGAGTTTGATACAAGTCTGGCTAACATGGTGAAGCCCCGTCTCTACTAAAAATACAAAACATGAACTGGGTGTGGTGGCAGGTGCCTGTAATCCCAGCTACTCGGGAGGCTGATGCAGGAGAATTGCTTGAACTCGGGAGGTGGAGATTGCAGTGAGCTGAGATTATGCCACTGCACTCCAGCCTGGGCAACAGAGGAAGACTCTGTCTCAAAAAAATAATAATGATAATAATAGTAATGCTTCAGTGAACACTCTTCTATGTGTCCTTTGAACATATATAACCATTTTTTCTTGAGAGTGTATCCAGGAGTGGATTTTAAGTATATCAATTTATCCTTTCACCAGCAGTGTATAAGAGTTCTAGATAATGCCGGGCGCGGTGGCTCACGCCTGTAATCCCAGCACTTTGGGAGGCCAAGGCGGGCAGATCACGAAGTCAGGAGATCGAGACCAGCCTGGCTAACACGGTGAAACCCCATCTCTACTAAAAATGCAAAAAAATTAGCTGGGTGTGGCAGCGGGCGCCTGTAGTCCCAGATACTTGGGAGGCTGAGGCAGGAGAATGGTGTGAACCCGGGAGGTGGAGCTTGCAGTGAACCGAGATCGCGCCACTACACTCCAGCCTGGGCGACTGAGCGAGACTCCATCTCAAAAAAAAAGAGTTCTAGATAGTTTATATCCTTACCAAACTTGGAATCCATCTCAAAAAAAAAAAAAGAACAGGAATCCCGGGGTCATGAAGATACTATTTTTAAGTGTTTTTTTTTTAATGATTAAAAAAAAATCATTCATGTTTAGAATTAATCTATCTCTAAATGGAGCAAAAACTGTTGCTTTTCTTTTCCATAGCAGTGGTGCAGAGCTTAGACTCTTAGCTTCCTACCCACACTTGGATTCAGCAAATGTACCCAGGGTAAAAGCAACTGCTGAAGATAGCTCACCTCTGAGATTTTTTTTTTCTCCCTCTCTGGAATTTTACCCCCTCTAGTTCTTGTTTTCTCAGCATTCTCTGCTGCCTTTAAAAAGATGATTTTTATATTTTATCTGGCTTTTCTGAGTGCTATCTGTAGAACTGGCTTGCCACTATTCCATCTCTCTTGGAAGTAGATATGATCTTTTTAAACATGCTCAAATCTCTTCCATTGAAAGCATACCAAATTGTTGGTCAGTCCTACATTTTCTTCCTAATACCTTAGATCACCACAACAATTTTTGCCTCTGTACACTAATTTTTTTTTTTTAACCTTAATATCACTAATTCCAGAGGATATTTCTGGTCCTGATTTTACCTCATCTCTTAGACGCATTTCACTTTGTTGACCACTTGCTCCTTCTTGAAACACTCTCTTCCCTTGGCAGTCGTGATACAACATTATCTTGGTCTCCCTTCTAACTTTCTGGATTTTTTGTCCTTTGCTGACTCATCTTCTTGTTCTGCCAATACTGGGAGTTCCTCAAGATTCAGATCTAGATTGTCTTCTCTTTTTACTATGTTATCTTCCTTAGTGATCTCAAGATCATGCCTTCAACTACTCTCTGTACCTAATTATCACACAAATTTGCATCTCCATTTCAGACTACTCTTTTGAGCATTGAACCACGAGACCCATTCGCTTAGTTGATATCCTTACTGAGATGACCAAAAAACTACTTCAGACTCAAAATGTGTCACAAATAATTTATGGCCTATTTTTATTTTATTTTATTTTATTTCATTTATTTTTCCAAGACGGAATCTTACTCTGTCACCTAGGCTGGAGTGCAGTGGTGTGATCTTGTCTCACTGCAACCTCTGCCTCCCAAGTTCAAGCGAATCTCCTGCCTCAGTCTCCCAAGTAGCTGGGACTACAGGCGCGTGCCACCACACCCAGCTATTTTTTTGTATTTTTAGTAGAGATGGGGTTTCACTGTATTAGCCAGGATGGTCTCGATCTCCTGACCTCGTGATCCACCTGCCTCGTCCTCCCAAAGTGCTGGGATTACAGGCATGAGCCACTGCGCCCGGCCCTCACCCGTCTTGTTAATCTAAGCTACCCTTATATCCTCTAATAGGTCAGTCTAGTCACCACATTCTTTCTCTTACAACATGCTCCCCTTGCTCTTCTTTTTAGCTGCTATGGTCTTTCTGTTTCTCAGACACATCTTGCTATCTTCTAGCAGGGTGCATTTTTGCATGTTGTTCCCTCTGCCTAGAATGCTCTCTCTCAAACTCCCTCTCCTCTAAGTCCTTTGCTGTCCTCAGATTTCATTTCAATCATTACCTACTCAAGAATCCTTTCCTGACTAGGTTTTTATTTCTTATTTTATGCTGTCATTGTTCCATGAAGTTTTCTGTCGTGTCATTTATCGGTGTTGTAATTTTCACAGTTTTTAAAATTAGTCCCTATTTAGTAAGCACTATGAGAGCAGGGACCTTACGTGTTTCCTGTCATCACTGTGTTCGCTAGCACCTCATACACTGCCTGGCATCTAGTAGGCATTCAGTAAATGTTTGTTGAATGCACTAATCATTTCTCTCCCCGCCCGTAGCTGAGGTGAAACGTGTTGGAGATACACTCTTGGGAATGGCTACACAGTGTGTGCAGGTGAAGAATGTGGTCAAGACCTCACCTCAGACTCTGTCCAACCTCTGCCTCAAGATCAATGTCAAACTTGGTGGCATTAACAACATCCTAGTCCCACACCAGCGGTATGAACTCTGTTGTCCACTTGCCCTTTTCAAGGTACCATGCTGGGAATTGATGAAGAGATAGGACCCTGGCCAGGCAGAGTGAATCAGACACAAGGGGGAGAAGAGCAGAGTGGGTATTGGATGGTGCCAGCTAGAGAAGACCCAACGCCTCACCATTTTGTTTTCTCTTCCTTGCTCAGCTCTGCCGTTTTTCAACAGCCAGTGATATTCCTGGGAGCAGATGTTACACACCCCCCAGCAGGGGATGGGAAAAAACCTTCTATCACAGCAGTGAGTGATATTCTCCAGCTGCCTCATAAAGTTCTCCTCTTCACTCTGAGTCCTCAAAACTGCCCATGATTTCCTTCCCTCAGCTCTGGCTCTTGACCCTTCATAAGATCTCCATTTAGCTCGCTATTCCCAATTCCCATTCCCTTGATAGGTCATAAAGGTAGCTCTGTATGGTGTCTTTTTTCAGGGAGAGTAGTGAGAGTGTAGCCAGAGACTTGACTCATTCTGCATCACTCTTGCTCTGCATTTGAATGTCTCTCTCCCCATGCCTGCTTTTGGCATGTAGGAGAGGGACTGTATCTTCTCTGAAATCCCTTTAAAGGGAGTTACTTAGTTGATGGGACTATCCTTTCCTCTGCCCATCCTCACTGTGTAATAGATTAGATGTTTTTCCTATCTCTCTCCTGACTTTTCTGCTCTTTGTCTCCTAGGGGCTTCCAAATTGCTAGGGATCAGACTTTCTTTCCCACTTGTATTTCCTAAACCCTCACATTTCTGTAGGCACACTGGTCTTAACCTCAGTAAGTGCAGGGAAACCCTATAATACGCTTATCCCTGTTTTTCTTGTGGCCATCCCTCCTAGGCTTTGGCCACTGTCTCCTTTCTAAATGGCGTTTCTTCCGTCAACCACAAGAACACTGTTACTATGGTCATGATTCCTGGGTAGATTAGCATTTGAATGGGAAAAAGGATAAACTTGGGACTGGAAGAGGCCATTGTTTGATCTAGTAGTACTAAACCTTCACACGCTCCTCTGCAAAGGGTAGAGAAATCAGTTTATCAAGTACCTACTGTGGGCTAGGCCCTGTGTAAGGTGCTTAATGTGGACTGCAGTAGCACTGCAAGCAGGTGTTCTTATCAACATCTGAGAAGAGGAAAAAAGATCAGAGAGATTGAGTAACTTCTGCTTGTGTGATAGAATAGAGATTGAAACCAGGGCTCTTTGAATCCCAAGCCCTACTCATTCAGTTGCAGTTTTCTTGCTAAGAAGCCTTTCCACAAACCCATAGCCTGACAGTGAGGGTGAAGGTTCTAGGAGCTAATCCTTTTTCTCTGACTGTCAGGTGGTAGGCAGTATGGATGCCCACCCCAGCCGATACTGTGCTACAGTGCGGGTACAGCGACCACGCCAAGAGATCATTGAAGACTTGTCCTACATGGTGCGTGAGCTCCTCATCCAGTTCTACAAGTCCACCCGCTTCAAGCCTACCCGCATCATCTTCTACCGAGATGGGGTCCCTGAAGGCCAGCTACCCCAGGTAGGGCCCACAGTAGGTGGAGAAAACCTTCACATCATGGCTGGAAAGCTAGGTGCTACTACCTTTTCTAAGCTATTGGCACTGGGAGGTGTGTCACTTCTTCGGGAACTTTGCTAAATGGGGTAGACTTGGGGGCAAGGATGGCAACTGAGGGATGGAGTATACAAGCATCTGTAGATTTTTCTTCTCATAATAGAAGACTCTCAGTGCCTATTTAAGTAGTTGGTTCCTGTTGGAGACTGATTGTTTAGACCAGTGATTCTCAAATGCTAGCTTACATTAAGATCACCTGGAGGGCTTGTTAAAACAGTTTTAAGGGCTCTACCCTTAGAGTTTCTGATTCAATGAGTCTTGGATGAGGGCCAAGAATTTACAATACTGACAAGTTCTTAGGCGATGCTGATAGTCTGGAGATTGCATTTGAGGACTAATGCTGTTTTGACCTTCCTTCATAATACTCCTCCTATTCATTCTCACTGCCAGTCTTCATTTTTTTTTTTTTAACTTCTATCCTGAACTGGTATCCTTGACTACTGTTTAATAGTATTATAACTACTGTTCCAGTGAACTTCTTGTGTGCCATGAACTGTGCTAAGCACTTCACGTTTTGTGTGTGTGTGTGTGTGTGTGTTTTTTCCTAAATCTGAGAGGAAACATGTTTTATTTAATGCTTTACAATAGTCCTATGGAATAATAGTGTATTTACATTTAACAGATGAGAAAACAGGCTTGGAAATGTTACATGATTCTTTAATGTCATCAAAGCTAATTAGGAGTGGAACTGGGATTCATACACATTGGTCTGATTCCATAGTTTATGCTCTTAACTGTTAGGCCCAGTTTCTTTTTTTCTTTTTTTTTTTTTTTTTTGGCGGGGACAGAGTCTCACTCTTGCCCAGGGTGGAGTGCAGTGGTATGATCTCAGCTCACTGCAGCCTCTGCCTCCTAGGCTGAAGCGATTCTCTTTTCTCAGCCTCCCAAGTAGCTGGGGCTACAGCTATGAGTCATCACATCCAGCTTATTTTTGTATTTTTAGTAGAGCTGGAGTTTCACCATGTTGGCCAGGCTGGTCTCAAACTCCTGACCTCAAATGATCCACCCGCCTTGGCCTCCCAAAGTGCTGGAAATACAGGCGTGAGCCACGGTGCCTGGCCATTATGCCCAATTTCTAAGTCATCCAGTATTTTCTAAAATATCAGACATATTTATCATATCACATATCTGTTCAGAAATGTCTAGTGGCTTCACATAGCTTTGGGTTAAAATTCAAACTGCTTAGCAAAGCAATCAGCAGTTATTAAGCCCTACTAGGTTTTCTATGCTTTTACTTAATTGTCTATCTTAGTCTTCATAACAGCTTTGTGAAGCAGGTCTTAGTAACATTAACAGATGTGGAGAAAATGAGACTTAGTGGAGTTTAATAACTTGCCCAATGTAATACAACTAGTTAAAGCTTGGATTTACGTCTAATTGATTCCAAAGTCTATCGTTCTGTACCATACAGTTTTGACCCTCTATATCTGACATCCATGGCCATAGGAAACTATTGCCTATGATTATTTACTTCTAGCTTTTCCTTTAGCTAGCCCATTTTCTAATAATCCTGCTTGCTTTGTAGGACTGAATTCACCTACTCTCTCTGCACCCATTATGGAGCTATATGTCTGCTCTTCTCTGGTGGTCCACAACCTGTCTGCTCTTGGAGCCCAAAAGAGAACTCTCATTAGCTGCCTGATCCTGAGTGAAACTAACTTTGGGCATTGTAATTTTAGTGATTTCTCTGTGAACCTTGGTTCTGTGTCTTGATATTAGGTCTCTTTATACACAAGAACCAGATGTTTGTTGTCTTCTGATGCCAAGCCTCCTGGCCAAGGTTTTATAGGAACATGTTAAGTGAACTGAGTATAAGGCTGCTTTTGACAAGAAGGGCCTATCATCTCTAATTGTTGAGCATCAGCATATAAAGGGAGACTGAGCCAAAAGCTGTATTACAAGTGGCAATTCCTTAGTTCAGAAGGGTATGTGAACTCAAGAGGAACTGTGTGTTTCTTTGTTTCCCTCTCCATTTTGTGCCTAGATACTCCACTATGAGCTACTGGCCATTCGTGATGCCTGCATCAAACTGGAAAAGGACTACCAGCCTGGGATCACTTATATTGTGGTGCAGAAACGCCATCACACCCGCCTTTTCTGTGCTGACAAGAACGAGCGAGTGAGTGAGGGACTGAGACCTCCCGTCCCCTCCTTCTGTCTCCCTTATCTTAATAGAGAAGAAGCCCTTCAGATAAAGGCTGGGGATTTAGTCCTTGTCCTGTCCATCCTCCCTGGCCCCTTCCCTCCTCCTAGCTCTTGTGGTCCTTCCTCTACCACTGCCTTCACTAGTGTCCACCTCCTCCCCTCCTTCCCTTATACTTCCTTTCCCTCCTCCTAGCTCCCTGGCCTAGACCCCATATATAGACCAGCTCCCAGAGAAGGGAAAGGGAACTACCATTTATTGAACTCCTCCTATGTGCCAGATACTGTACAAGGCGTCTTCCTCACAGCAACCCTGTGAGGTAGGTATTATTATTATCTCCAGTTTAATCTCAGAAAGGTTAAATGACTTGCTAAGATCATACAGCTAATAGGACTTGAACATAGGTCTGTGTGACTTTAGAAGCATATTATTTAAAGATTCAGTACCCTCTGGGAATAGCAACTTTGGCTTTGTTCTTGGGATTTTGGTGAAGTCAGAGTAGAATTGAGCCAGGGTCCTAGTTAGGGCCAGGCAGGTCTTGGGATCTTGGTTGTGTTTGTCTCTATACAGATTGGGAAGAGTGGTAACATCCCAGCTGGGACCACAGTGGACACCAACATCACCCACCCATTTGAGTTTGACTTCTATCTGTGCAGCCATGCAGGCATCCAGGTAGCTGGGCTATATCTTGGGGTTCCAATGGGTCAAAGATGAATTGTTTATTCACATTGCCTCTACAATATATCAGTCATCACTGAATGACATCCAAATTATGTTCGTTTGTTTTGTTTTGTTTTATTTTGTTTTGAGGTGGAGTCTTGTTCTGTCCCCCAGGCTGGAGTGCAGTGGCACACTCTCAGCTAGCTGCAAACTCTGCCTCCTGGGTTTAAGCGGTCCTCCTGCCTTCCCGCCTCAGCCTCCCGAGTAACTGGGATTACAAGCATGCGCCACCATGCCCAGCTAATTTTTTTTTTTTTTTTTTTTTTTGAGACAAGAGTCTCGCTCTGTCGCCCAGGCTGGAGTGCAGTGGCCGGATCTCAGCTCACTGCAAGCTCTGCCTCCCAGGTTCACGCCATTCTCCTGCCTCAGCCTGCCGAGTAGCTGGGACTACAGGCGCCCGCCACCTCGCCCGGCTAGTTTTTTTTTTGTATTTTTTAGTGGAGACAGGGTTTCACCATGTTAGCCCATGTTGGGATGGTCTCGATCTCCTGACCTCGTGATCCTCCCGTCTCGGCCTCCCAAAGTGCTGGGATTACAGGCTTGAGCCACCGCGCCCGGCCCCAGCCGTATTCTTAATAGTGATCCTGTTCCCCTATTATCAGCCATCTCCTCTGCTCAGCCTGGGACCCTCATCTTCCTATCTTCCCAGGGCACCAGCCGACCATCCCATTACTATGTTCTTTGGGATGACAACCGTTTCACAGCGGATGAGCTCCAGATCCTGACGTACCAGCTGTGCCACACTTACGTACGATGCACACGCTCTGTCTCTATCCCAGCACCTGCCTACTATGCCCGCCTGGTGGCTTTCCGGGCACGATACCACCTGGTGGACAAGGAGCATGACAGGTGAGACCTGGGATCAGGTTGGCCTCCTTTTTGCTTCAGCCTGTTGTGCCAGATCTTCTCAACTTTCCTTGGGTAGAAGGAAAGGAGTGCTGTCCAATTTGGTGTCATTGGGCTCCTCTGCCCAATCCTGGGTTGGGGTTTTCTCTTAAGTTGGTATGGGAATTGGCATCCCAGGGCTGGGTGAGGGAATTAGCAGCAGCTCAGTTCACCAGGAAGGACTTCTTTCATTTTTTCCTTTTCAGTGGAGAGGGGAGCCACATATCGGGGCAAAGCAATGGGCGGGACCCCCAGGCCCTGGCCAAAGCCGTGCAGGTTCATCAGGATACTCTGCGCACCATGTACTTCGCTTGAAGGCAGAACGCTGTTACCTCACTGGATAGAAGAAAGCTTTCCAAGCCCCAGGAGCTGTGCCACCCAAATCCAGAGGAAGCAAGGAGGAGGGAGGTGGGGTAGGGAGGAGTGTAGGACGCCTTGTTTCCTTCTGTAGAGGTGGTGTAAGAGTGGGGAACAGGGCCAGCAAGACAGACCACCAGCCAGAAATCTCTGATATCAACCTCATGTCCCCCACCCCTCACCCCATCTTGTCACATCTGGCCCTGACCCCAGTGGACCAAAAGGGGCAGCACTGGTGCCCACCATACACACAGGTGTCTCATGTGACTCACAGTGCTAAAGACTCATGCTTGACAGCTTGGTAAGGTCAACTCTGTAGCCCTGCAGACAAAAGCTGGTTAGGTTTGGGTTTGATACTTTAGATGGGAAAGTGAGGGGCTTGAGAAAGTGGGTGGGAGGAGGGAAGGATTTTTTAGGAGCCTTAATCAGAAAAGGACTAGATTTGTTTAAGAAGAAAAATGAAACCAGACCCAGATCAATATTTTAGGATACTAGATGTTTTAATGGGTTCAGAATCCAGTTTGTAGGAAGATTTTTTAATGGTTTTGGTTGCTCCTCCCCCAGCTGCCACCCCCCCTTCCCCTTATTCCTCTCTGTCCACATTTTCTGCCCCACCTTACTTCTCCTCCCTGACAGACATCCAGCCCCTAGTAATACTTAAGGCACTATGGCACTTAGCTTTGAAGTGACACGACCCTGTCTTCCTTCCGCCCGCTGGTGGGTAACCAGTGCCTTCCCTGTAACGGTAATGCTGCAGAACTGCAACCTTTTGTACCTTTCTTTGGGGAATGGGGTGGGGGTGGGAGAGGAGGTAGATGGGGAAGAAATACCCCAGACCCAACAAACCTCCAGCCAGAAAGCCAGCTATTTTGCATTTGAAGGAATTGACTTCCTCATTCATTGAGCTTTTTAAAAGATCACAACCTCAAGATGGTTAAAATCCATTGACATTTGCACTTTCAAACGTGACAAGTCTCCGAGCTGCTGAGATGACTGGCCCCTGGCCTTTCCACTTATGCCTCCTTTTCTCCTTGTTCCTCCTACCTCCCACCCCACCCAGGTCTGGAGTTACTTTCATAGCATTTTTCACTCTTGGCTTCTTTTCTCCCTTGATGGTCAAGTCTCTTGTGTTTCAATATTTCTTAACTGGGGTGTCTTATAACAAAAAACTCGTAGGTCTAAAATGAGAAAAAAGAGAGAAAACAAAATGTTATTTTTATACCATAACTTGAGTGTATTGCCAAAATTCGGAAATCCTTCCCATGCCTGATGAGTTTATATCCCGGAAACATTGAGCCATCAGAATGAACTGTGTACCTGATTTGTTCTCTGACCTGGCTAGGTAGGGAGGGGGTGGTTATCACCCCAAGATGGGGTCCGGGCTCCATCCTTCCTCTGTGCAGATAATACCTTTCTCTTGCTGTAGCCTCCCTCCTCTGCACTGTCCTGCACTCTTTCTTGCAAGTGCATCTTTTTCCTTCCTCTGGACTGTCCTCTGACCCTTTGGCTCATCCTAGATTCCAGTGTGTCCTGTGGACAGGCTGGGGAATTTTGCTGCTCCCTATTGCTTCTGTTTACACAAATGAATTTTTCCTGGTTTCCCACTAGGGCATGTGAGTGGGTGGCATGAGCTTTTTTTTTTCTTTTTGTCTTGAGACATGGGGTTTGGCTGTCTTGCAGGACTGGAGAAGGTGGTGGTTCTAGCTTGGTCTCTGCTGGCCTTGAAGCAAGCATCCCCCCCTGCCCTTTTTCCTTGACTGTTCATTTTTTTCCTGCCCCACCACTTGGGATGGGGAGTTGCAACTTCAGTGTGGAATTTCCTCTTTTTGAGGAGCCTGGGTTTGGATCTATCTGATCTGGTGATGAAGCCATGATTACTTTAGACCTAACCCAGGCTTGGAGGCCAGCCGGAGGCAGGAGGGTCTGAATCCTGGCCTATAGAGTTAGAACTACTGTTTCCTCTCCTCAGCTGCCCTTGTATGACCTGGATTTGCTATGCAAAACAATCTGTCCCAGGTTCTGTTCTGGTTGGCTACATTGTTCAGCAACTCACAAAACGTAGCACAAACATTCATTATGGAGAAAGCATCAGGACTGTTGAGTAACTCCTCCTTTACTTTTTTCCTGCTGGCTACAGCATGGGGTGCCCTATAGGCACAAGCCCAGCTGAAGAACAGAATGGAGGGCTCTGGGAGGAGGCAGCTCACTGGAGAGCCTACATTCCTTACACAAGTGCCTAAAGAGAGTGATGCTAACACTCCATCTGCCCTGTCCATTGCCTTCATATACAGTCTACTTCGTGTTCTGTCACCCTTTGGGGAGGGGAGCTCTTCTGGGACAGTGGGCTCTGCATGTTCTCTACTTGGGTACATTTTGGGGCTAGGATCAGGGCACTATTCCTGGAGGGTCCAGTCATTCACCAGCATTTGCAAATGTCCATAGGGAGCAGGTGGCAGCCTCTACTCCCAGCAACAAGTTTGTGTTCTCTCCTTTTCTCTCTCTGCCTCACTCTCTCCAGTTGGTTATCAGCTGGGGCTTGAAATGCATTTTTAGCCCTTTGGCATGGCATATGCCATTCAAGAAATAAAAAAGCAAGAGAATCAGCTTTGGGCAATGACAAGAAATGACTTCTTACTCTGATTTTTTGGTAAAAAAATAATTTTTGAGACTTGAAAAATAACCCTGACCTTGAGGATTATTCTTGTTTGAAAGGTGGTGGATGCAGATGGAGAAGTGGTGTTGGCAGCAAGCTTTGGCTCATGTGGATTTGGTTTAAGTGGTGCTTCTTACCCAAGCTTCAAGGAAGTGCTTGGGGGACCCCCAGCCTCATCCTCTTAGATGGGTCTCTTGCTCCCTTTGTACCACTGTTTTGCCTTCCTTTTCCTCTTCTCTTTTTCCCTGGCTTCCTTTCCCTTTTCTACTATTCACTCTGCTTGCTTGCTGGCCGGCCTGCCTGCCTGCCTGCCTGCCTGCCTATGTGATGATGAAATCTCTGCATGGCTGCAATGATCCCACTGTTAGCTGGCAAGGTCAGGCTTAGCTCCTTGACTGCAGACGACCAAGAACCTGTTCCCCAAGCCCAGAGATGTTCACCTGGGCTGGACTGCCCTCAAGCTTATACTAGAGAAGAGCAACTGACCTGCCCAACTTGTGTGAAGTCAGGAGGGTTTCTGGCATTTTCCACACCTGTCCACTCCTTGGAGCTGGTTTCTCTCATTGCTTTTACTAAATCTGGTTCTTTTTCTCTTTACCTGGGGCCTGCCTTTTCTGAGATTGTCTTAGGGTTGAGCTACTTGGGTATCCTGGGCTTGAGTGTTAGGGGATGGACATAAGGGAAAGAGTGATGAGAAGAGAATGGAGAGAATTTGAATAAAAGGTGGGAAAGGAGAGAGCCCTGTTCTTTGATTGTTTATCTAGTCCAACCTGATCCATTAGGGATTGAGGTGCTACACTGGCCTCCAGGGATAAGCCTGGGGCTATTGTTGCTGGGAACTTATGCTTAACATAAAGCCGAAGAAGAAGGTACCTAGAATTTTGAAACTTCCCTAAAAAGCTCCTAATGCCCACCTGCTAGATAGCTTCTCTGTGGCCTCCTATTTAGCTAAGCAGCAGTGTTTTTGGATACTTCTCTTCTGTTTGTGAATAAGGCCAGCACTCAAGATGGGCAGACAAGGGCACGCTATTAGCTGGCCCATAGGATATCTGTAAGGCTGGTGGGACAATTTTGGACCTGGAATCCTGTGAACTAACAAGGTTGGAAGTTTCTTCCCCTTCAGGGTAGAAAAATCATCTCAAACTAGCCAAAAGGCAGTTTTGGAAACTACATTGGGGGAAGTTATTTTTATTTATATATGGGGCCTAGGCCAATCCAGGATGGTAGCTGGAATACCTTCCTTCTTAAAATCTGATCATGGCAGGGATATGCAGGGCACTTTTTACTATTTGGCCTTCTAAGCAGATTGGGAAGGAGGTATTTTCTGGTTTTCTCTTTCCTCCAACTTAATAGGACTTGCCTTCTCCCTGGGCAGGGAGAGAGGCTGGGTTGGTGCTCTCCCCTTACTCTACTCACACTGACTTAGAACCTCTGGCTGCTGTTTGGGCATCCAAGAAAGGGAGGGGAAGGAATGAGCTAAAAACAAAACAGAATGAGGTGGGAAAGGGAGATTTCCTTCTCTACAGAGGAAAATAGGAAACCCTCCAAGAATTGTGCAAGTAAAGACATTCGTCAAATGCACTGAGTCCCTTGGTGTAGTAGCAATAAGGAAAAATGAAATTACTTTCCTGTGCACACAGTCCAGCCTAATTGGTGTGTGATGTTGCACTTAGCAGCCATGTGGTGGGCATGTGTGACTACTCTGGGTTTCACTTTAGTTTCTAAACTTTTTATCCCTCTCAAGTCCAGCATGGATGGGGAAATGTCTCTGGATCCCCACAGCTGTGTACTTGTTTGCATTTGTTTCCCTTTGAGACTTGTGTTTGTGTCCTGCTTTGAGCTGTACCTTGTCCAGTCCATCGTGAAACTATCCCAGCAGCTGTAATGTACAGTTCCTTCTGAAGCAAGCAACAGCAGCAGCAGCAGCAGCAGCAGCAGCAGCAGCAGCAGCAGCAGCACAATTCTGTGTTTTATAAAGACAACAGTGGCTTCTATTTCTGAAGTGCGGTCTTTCTCTTTTTTTCCTACCAGCAAAACAAACTTTTGGGACTGATTACATCTCTAATAGATTTTAGGTGAGAATAATACTGTAGATTGTTATGCAGGAATACTTCACAGGGCCTCCATTTATTCTTCATTCAACAAACATGCAAAGTACTGTGCCAGCAGTATTGTGGGGAGGGCAGGCATAATTCAAAATGAGGAAAATAGTGTCTGTCTCATTAAGGGAATTAAGTTTGGTGGGGGATATGACTAGCCAACTGGTCCCCTGGCATAGGAGAAAGATAATGAGGGAGTGGAATAAGACTATAGCAACGAATATAGGGAGGAAGGGACAGATTTGAGAGACAAGAGATAGAATTAGTAGGACTCGATGGCTGGTGGAAGACAGGAGTAGAGGTTAGCTCCCAGGTTTCTCCTTGAGCATAGGAGTGTGTTGGGACATTCTGCCAGTCAAGATGGGGGTGGCAGGGGGAGACTGTAGAAGGAAGGTGGGGAGTTTTTTGAAGAAAGACAATGTTGTGTAGACTGAGTTTTGAGGTTTTTTTGGGGCAATAAGGGTAAGGTGTCCAGTAAACACAGGTTGGTGCTCAGGTAAGACTAAAACTGCATTTATGGATACGGGAGTCATATAGATGGTAGTTAAAGCCATAGGCATGAACAAGTTAGCTTAGAAAAAGAGAAGAGAAACATAGTATACAACCCCCTAAGAAACTCAGTTTAAAGGATGGGGCGAGGAAGTAGATCTTAAGGTGACAGATCACTGGTAGAAAGCTTGTGGGTTTTTTGTTTCTTTGTTTAACCAGTTTAGTGAGGTAGGAGAAGAAATCAGAGTGGAAGTTTCATGAAGGGTGTGATTAACAACATGAACTGCTGCAGAGAAGGAGTTCTTTTTTTTCTGTGTGTTTTACCTTTCTGCTCCCCATCTGTTGGGGATCTTATAACTCTATGACCTACTTAGGTTATTCTCCAGTATTTCTTGAAAATGAGCATTGGAAAAACCAATTCTAAAATGGCTAAGACTAGGACTTTCAAGTTCCCCACAACTACCACCAATTAGGAGATAATTGTAAAAGAATAAACAAAACCTAATTTTGTTCCAGTGTACTAGATAATAGTAGAATACTATATTTATTTCCATAACTTGTCTTCTTTAGAGCCTGTGAACTCCTAGGAGCAGAAGCTATATTCTCTTCATTTTTGTCATCTCAGGGTCATGGCATATACCAACGGATCAGTATGTGCAAATAGAATTGAAATAGGCTAGTAGTCTGTAGTTTATGAGTATGGGCTGGGTGGGCAGCAGATCAAGAAGTGATAGGAGTACACAGGATGAACTCAGAATTCCTGAAATCTTTAGGTAAGCAGATACTTAACCAGATTATCATTGTCTTTTCCCACTCGCCCCAAATTGGAGGTTTTATGGTTTTGTACTTTAAGCTGGTGGTATAATTGTCAAGCATGTAAATTCTGGCATTCTTCCTGGTACTGCTAGAGCATTATTTCAATGCATGGGGGTAAGAAGGCTCAGAGAAGGATTCTGGCAGAGGGCCCAGTGAGAAATCATCAGTGGTAGCCAGTGTGTACATACGTGGACCTAGCATTCCTCTGGAGGCCAAGTGTTGTGAATTGGCCTGTGGCTATCACCTGGCAGACTCCCTTGGGAAAGAGCTAGCCAGCCCCATGCTTCTTTTCAGCAGCAAGGGTTAGGGAGGTTGGTTGAACTTAAAGAGCAGATTAGACATGGAGCAGATTTTGCCCAGTTGAAATAAGACATAAATTTATGACCCCAAGTGAGGCAGAAATAAAGTACTTAGCAGGGGGAATGGGAGGATGATGATTATGGCAAATTTTGCTATAACCTTTAGTTTTAGAAAAGATTGATACTGAAAAGCCTTCAGGATTTGCCTGTGGTTGCTACTCAAGTTAAAAAAGACTGGGAGCCTGCATTGTCTGGTCCTGGAGCTCAAGGTTTTCAGTGAAGGCTTGTCCTGGCACCTCTGGGCATTCCTTTTCATTACTAGTTGAGCACCCTTCCTTCTGCTCTGTCAGTTGGCAGAATACTCCGGAGCACATTCTGGACTAGCAGTTGCCTTCGGGTAGTCAGGCTGGGTATTTGTTTGGTATCTCTTGGTGTAGCAGATCCCAGAATCTCATGGCAATTTGGATTTGGTGGCTAAAAGAAAGAGTTAGTGCAAGGAAAAGACTAGTTGGAAGTTCTGAGTCTGGGCCATCCTTAAGCTGCTGTCTACTGCTTGAATGGGAAGTAATGTTGAATTGGAAAATTAGCTCACCTTTTTTGTTCCTAGCTTTGCAGACATTTATTCCTCTGATGATAGGCTGAGAAATGCCTAGGCAGGCTTAGAAGGCACACAGAGCATGACAGAAGTACTCCATCAAAGCAGCTGTGTCAAGAAGGAAGAGCTGGAAAAGTGGATTTGCTGGGGAATTAGCCACATTTAGTTTTCCACTTACGCACAACTGCCTTCTCCAGTATATCATAGCAGGGTTTTTTAGGCCTTTGTGGCTTACCCTGCAGGAACATACTATCCTGTTGTTCTGGACTGTAGCACCTTCACCACCATCCTCTTGGCAATGGTTTTTTGTTTTGGGTTTTTTTTTTTTTTTTGGACAAAGTATAATATTGAGGGACCTTTTTAGGGAGCCTTTGATCCTTTGTCCCCATTTTCCAAAGGCAGGGAACTTTCCTCTTAAAAGAGACAGTGGGAACTTTTAGCCAGGTTTTTGGAAAAGGCCTGTGAGCTATTAATGAGAGTGAACTGCAAAAGGAGGAAGGGTTGGTTTGGGTGCTTTGAAGTACTTGGCTAGGTGTTTTCTACAGTATCTTATACAATTGCATCTTACAGCATCTTTACATGCAAAATAGTTTATCAGTTATCTTCAATTGCATATTACAAAATTCTGATTAAATTTTTCTTAAATAAGAAAACTATCATTTCATATGACAAGAAAGCCTAATTTAATGTTACTCCAAGGTTGGTTAATTCAGTGGCTCAGTGATAACACCAAAGAATTAGTTTCTTGAAATCTTTTTGGTCTGCCATCCTCCATGTTGTTTATCCTCACGCCAGTTCGCCTCATGGTCCCAATATGGCTACTGTAATTCTGGGAAGGAAATGCTGACAGAACCATGCCTGGCAAAAGAGACAAATTTTTCCATGTCCTTCTAAAGCAAGGAAGTCTTTTCCTGGAAGCTCCAGCATATCCGGCCTCATGGCTTTGCTAGAAATGGGTCATCTCACTCCTGTCATTGGCAAAGCAAGTAAGATCATCCATCATGAGTGGCTTAGATGAATGAATTATCCTTTGAGTCACGTAGACTAGAAAGTCCAGTCATGTCTACCAGCAAGAAAGGAGATAAGGGCTATTGGATAAGCAGCGTCTGGTCTCAAAGGTACTTCAACTTTTACAGATGAGAAACATGAATCTGAATGACTTTCCTAGGCTCACAGCAAGAGAGGGCCTTCAGTCTTAGCTGTGTCTGTCCCTAAAGCCCAAGTTTTATATTGTATCTTGCTACAGTGTAAAGTAACTTACTTTCTACCTTGTGGAAACTGATGGTCTAGGACAAGAGATTTGAACTCAGGTGCCCAGGTGACTCTAATCTTGGCCCATGTGAGAAGATTCTACTGAGTTGCTGTCCTCATCCAGTGATGTTTCTTGTCTCACACAAGAAGCCTAGGAGTAGAAAGTCCTAAGTGGAGTAGAATAATAGTGGCAGCAGGGAGGGAAGTGTGCACTGTGTGTCCCTGAGCCTGACTGGGCAGGAACTTGGCGCTTCAAGTGGCAGCTGGCCACCCTGTCTTTCCTGCATGCACTGAGTATTTGGTAGCTGATTATGCCTTTCCTTAGTGACCAGTGATATTGATCATCTTTTCATGTGCTTACTTACTATCCCCGTATCTTTGTTGTTCACATCTTTTACCCATTGTATTTGTTTTTGAGACAGTGTCTCACTCTGTCACCCAGGCTGGAGTGCAGTGGCACGATCACGGCTCACTGCAGTTTCTGCCTCCTGGTCTCAAGCAGTCCTCCCACCTCAGCCTTCTGAGTAGCTGGGCTTACAGGCATACACTACCATGCTCAGCTAATTTAAAAAAAAAAAAATTTTTTTTGGTAGCAGTTCGGTCTCATTATTATTGCCCAGGCTGGCCTCTCTCAGCTTCAAGCTATCTTCCCGCCTCAGCCTTCCAAAGTGCCGGAATTACAGGCATAAGCCACTGGGCCCAGCCTCTTTTACCTGTTTCAAAATTGAGTTTTATTGAGTTGTAAGAGTTCTTTATTCATTTTAAACACAAGTCCATTGTTGGTTATATCTTTTACATCTATTTTTCCCAGTCTGGCTTGCCTTTTCATTTTGAAGAGCAAAAGTTTAAAATTTTGTGAATTTATTAAAGCTCCATTTGTTGCTTTTTTCTTTTCTAGTTTATACTTTTGTGTCATATTTTAGGAAATTTTGCACTGGGTATTTGATGGCTCCTGAGGAGGTTCAACTTTCAGAGGGCACTGATTTCTCTGCACCTGAAATTTTGTACTATTTCTGTATTTCTTTCTTCTCAGAACAACCAGTGTCACCAGGTATGAGGGCAGAGTTTTAGCTTGTTTGCTGAGCCCCATTCTTGAAGCTTATTTATTTATTCATCTATCTATCCATCCATCAATCCAACAAATATACTGAATGCTGCTATGTGCCAGGCACTGGCACTGTTCTAGGTACTGGGGCAATGGGAGTTAAGGTAATACCCAATGACCCTGCTCTGTACCCTTAAGAGCAGACTCAGTTGGGGATGAGTTATCCAAAAATAGGGTGTACATGTAGTCAGGAGAGAGCCTCATACAGCTTTGCCTTTGGCAGAATCCTTCAAACCTCTTTGTCTTCCTACTTCTTGATATTACAAATCATGAGCCTTTCACATGCGTTCACTCTAAAGAGGTGGGTTCCTGGATAGCAGAATTAGATAGAAAGGCATCATTGACATTTATTGAGATGGAGTGAATCAGAGGGTGTAAATTCTGCTCCGTCAATATCGAAAAAGACTAGCCGATCTCAAGGGTTCATCACTGTCACCATGTCTATTGTCTATTCTGGAAGAAGCTGAAGAAGTCTGCCTTTGTTTAGGGAACCAGTTCCAGAATCAGAGGGGTTGAGGATATAAAAGACCCTTGCACAAGAGTTGGTATTTACCCTGTCAGATGCTGCTACCAAGATTTGGATTGTGTACAGTCGAGGATTAAAAATGACTTTTAAGATGCAGTGTTTCATCTGGTGACATTTAATTTGATATTTTAAAATTGGGGAGGGTATTTTCAGCCACGGGGGTAGGGATGTGAAGGAAGCTGAAAGTAAGACAGAATTGGAGTCAGATGTGGTTTTGAGTCCCATACATTTATTAAGTGTTTAATATTATATGGTAAGTGCTTTAAAATGGTAAATACTTCTGTTATTCACTAAAATTTGGGGAGGGTTTCCTCTGTGCTTTATGTACATTCCCTAACCTTACAACTGTGTAAGGTACATACTGTTCTCTCAATTTTTCAGATAAGAAAATTGAAGCCCAAAGAGATCAAGTGACTGATCCAAAGTCCCACAGTGAGGGGAACTGAAGATAGGATATTCTTTCTCCTTTTCCTCTTTAAAAACTTATTTTGATAAAAAAAAAAAAAAAAAAACTAAACCGTATTACTGAAGCATAAGGACATGGGGAGAAATTATGAATCATTCCTCAGCCTGAATAAAATAGTATCATGTTTCATTAAGGCAACAAATATTTATTAGGGACCTACTATTTGCCTGACATTCAAGTGGGGTGGGGGGCACACAAGTAGTAAATAACAGACTGGGCAAAGGGCTACCAAGGCAATACTGTAGTAGACTAACAGGTGCCCCACCATGGGTGGTCCGGCAAAGGCGTCTCAGATGTCTTCCGTTGAGACGTAAAAAGAAACTGTAGGGTGGGGAGTAAAGGGAGGGTGGAGAGGAGAGAGAGGGTTCCTGGCCAAGGGAACCAAAAGCAGAGAAGCCCCAAGTCAGAAAAAAGCAGCGCTTGGCCCGTTGGGGGAATTGGAAGCCGAGCAGTACAGCTGTAGCACAGGCGGGGCCCGTTTACGCCGTGCGTTTTCACCCTGGAAAGGAGTTTAGGTTTTCGAAGTGTGACGAGGCGCTATTAAAGAGTTTTAAACATGGAAATTACTCGATCTGTTTGTGTAGTGTCCTGTTCGTTAGTCATCTTTTCCAAACTATAATACATTTTTTTAAATCCTAAAAATGGTCGTTAAAGCAGTCTAGGAGTTAGGTCAATTGCGGTGGTCACTTGACCGCCTGTGAGGAGGCGGCGCGTGGGGCGGCTCGGACTGGGCGTGGCGGGGGCTCAGGAAGGAGGGTTGCCCTACCCCAGCGGTCTCGGCTCGGGGCCTCCGCGGCAGGCTTGGGTCCTTCACCCGCCAGCTCCAGGTAGGCTACTCCTCAGGTCAGCCCCGCCGCCAGCCGCGACGTCGCCACAGACAGGCACCGCCCCCACTCGTGCGGCATGAGGAGTCCTGCCCCTTCGGGTTGTCTCCAGCCGGCACTGCCCCGCGGGGGACGGCCGAGCCCGCCGCATGTGGCCCGGCTCCCGGACGCTTCCCCGGCGTCCTCCGCGCCGGCCGCTCCCGCCCCGACGTCGCTCCGACACGGCTCGGGGCCCAGAGGCGAGGCGAGGACGCCGGGCAAGCCAGGCAGCGGAACTGACGCCGGCGGGCTTCCGGGGCGGCCCCGGGCAGGTCGGCGGCGGTGGCCCGCAGTCGTGGAGGAGCGGTGGGAGCGTCGGCGGCCGCGGGCGATGCAACTTCCGGACGGGACTCCCCTGTGTCCGCGCCTCACGTCTCCCCTTCCTCTCGCCTAGTCCCGTGCCGTTTTCCGTCCGCGACTCTTCCGGCCCAGAGCTTTCGGAGTGCGGTTGCTCAGGGGAAGCCGTCGCCGCCCCCGCCTCGGGGCCGAGTGAGAGTGTCCGTCGCGCGGCATCGCCCCCCGGGCCGCCTCCTTGCCCCCAGTGGCGGGCTCCGTTCTCCCTCGAAGCACTCCCCCCAGCTCCATGAATGGAAATCGGCTCCGCAGGTGAGTCAGAGTCTCTGGGCCAGGTAGGGGATGTCACCAAGCTACTGTCCTCTGAGTCTCACTGCTCCTCCCGCCCGGCCCAGGTGCGCGAGGTGAGCGTCGGGCGGGCATCCCCTGGTCTCCCGCCCCTCGCCCTGCTCCCCTGCGATCTCCGCGCAGCCCAGCCGCAGTTCCCCGGGGGCCCCTGAGTCGGCGAAACTGCGAGGCGGGGAAACGCTTGGAGGATTTAAGTTTGGGGTTATCTAAGCGGTATTACTCTTTGCTGGAGTACCCTTTTTCTAGACTTTAGAATGGTTTGCCATTGTCTAGTTGGAGTTCTTGTCCTTTAGCCAGTTTGTGTGCTCCGTAGAGGCTGGGCAGCCAGCCAGCTCCCTTACCTACCTCTTAGGGTAGTTGTGAAGATACACTGAGATAACGGATAACTTCAAATTAAGTTCGAAGGAGGTATTGGTGCAATGTTAAATTCAACACGGCATTGCTCCCACCCTCGAGTTCTTTTCTGTTGTTTGTGGCAGCATGGTAGATAGTTTCTGAGGAGCTTGGAAATGTCATAGCAGCCTGGATCACTGCTTATACGAGGAGGTGGATCTTAAAATTGCTGACAGCATTTTTTGTTTCATTCTCTATTCCCTAGAGAAGTAGTTGTCATATTCCTGGAAATTTGGAATTTAAGAAAACTGCTTTATCTTCGCGGGGAAGAAAGCAGTCTTGCAGTCGTAAGAGAAAATTGCAACATGGTTAGTACTTGTCCTTAAAAAAGGAAAAGTACTCTTTATGGTTCTAAAGTAATTAATTCAGGGACAGAAAGGTGTTGCATAACGGTTTGCCTAACAAGTGATCATGCTTGGCATTTTAAATTTGAAAGTATGCTTCAGACGATCACAAGTTCGTAAATTAATTTTCAAAATATTTGCAGGACTGTCTTGTTACTAATGGTGTTACAAGTTCCTGAATTCCATATCTCTTTTTGCCAATTTGATATAAGAAAAACTTATGTAAAAGAAACCAGTGACATAATGATAGCTAAGAACTTTGTTGAATAGATTGAGTATTAAGTGTCAAATGGATGCAAAAAAGCACTCAGACTGGGGAGGTGAGATGGGGAGAGTTAAAAAAATTTTTTTAAACAAATTTTGTTACATGGAAGTTTCTCTAATCAATTTCTACTATATCTCTTTTTCATGCTCCATTGTTTCGCCTTGCCCCATATCGTCTTAAAAACAGAAAGTCTGTCTGGGTTGTGAAAAGATTTAGATTCTTATTCAGTTTTGATTTGTGTATTTCTGAAACTGTCCTGCCCTTTTTTAAAACTTACCATACTGCTGTTTTACTGCACAGGAAATGTGATTATTTGGGACCATAGGTGATCTTTGTACATAACTGTCCTGTTGTCAAGTCTGGAAAACAAATCATGAAAGTCAGACCCTTTATTAATCATCCTAAAACTTTTAAAGATATTTCAAAAAAGTTTTAAAGTTTTTGCTTTATCTCCTTAGGGTTTTTCATATGATATTGTGCCCATATATATGGACGTTGTCTTAGAAAACATTTGTTAACATCAAACCACCTAGTCAACTGGTACAACTAGCCAAGTAAGGCTCAGAAAATACATTTTACCTCTTCTTTTTTGGGCGTCCCGTTGCTGAAATAGATACCCATTTAGCTGTCTTCACATTTGGGCAAGTGTGTAGTTAGATTATCAACTGTATGCTTGGGTCTCTTGAAAAGTAAAGTTTTTTCTTCAGTACAGTTTATACGTGATTGAAGGTAGCCTAATGAAGATAAGCTATACTTTGGCTCAAGATTGACGTTATCAAAAACAAAATTTTCTTTATTCCTGAGACTTATATATAATTGGTATGCTTAGTGTAAAGTTGAAAGCATAGCTGTGCAACTAAATTTTAAATCCATAATTTAGGCTGGGCGTGGTGGTTCATGCCTGTACTTTGGGAGGCTGAGGAAGGATGATCCCTTGAGCCCAGCAGTTGGAGACCAGCCTAGGTAACACAGTGAGACCTGCCTCTCCAAAAAGCAGAAAAATTAGCTGAGAATTGTGGCACATGCCTGTAGTCCCAGCTACTTGAGAGGCTGAGGCAGAATGGATTGAGCCCAGGAGGCAGAGATTGCGGTGAGCTATGATCGCACCACTGCACTCCAGCCTAGGTGACAGAGCAAGACCCTGTCTCAAAAAAAAAAAAAAAAAAAAAAAATTCATAATTTGGCATATATTTTGATTTTAAAATTTTAGTATAAATGTTCTCAAAAAGTCTATTGAGTCAATATTGAATCTTGGCTCTCCAGTTCTATCATAAGTTTTTCTTTTGTGTGGAGATTCTCAGGAATCATCTTGTGATAGGATATTTTAAATTCTAGTTGTTCGGTGGATACATAGAAAACTGTTAAATTTATTTACATTAGGGAACCTCGAATACAAATACCATATAAGTTAGTATTCGTTCTTTCATATGAAATATTTTGAATGCTTTTTAAGGATATCTTGTGCAGTCTACTGATTTAGTACCATCAGAACTTTGATTTAACAAGAAAAGGCTCAATTAGTTAAAAATTAATCAACAGTTTAACGTCTGTGTCTGTGACTAGTTAGGAGAACATCTGATGAAACACCATTTTCTGTGGTCTAATTACTGCTGAACTAAGAGTATAGGTTGTGTTTCAGTTCTAAATAAGATGGAAATAGGGAGCGGCAGAGATGCTTGATGATATTACTTCTCCTGAGTACTCATTTTTTAGGTCCATACTATTCTAGTCTGTGTTTTCAGATAATGTTAGACTAGCGTTTGGGACAGAGGAACTACACTTTATAATGGAAGAAAAACATTTACTTTTACCTTAAATTAATGACATGCAAATTGATGTTTGGTGGAAGTTTTATACAGTCTTGCAAAAGTGAATAGACTGTTTCTTTCTTATTTGTACTTTTAAATTCGTGTCTGAAAATAGTTGTTTTAGAGTTCTGTGCTTATTTAATAATAAAAGTTTTTAAAAAGTTATTTGGAACCAAGTTCCAAAGGAATAAAAGTTGCATATATGGGAAGCTAGAATTAATTCAAGATTGGGATATGAATGATGTAGATAAAAATTATGGGTTAAAAATACCTACTAAAATATATAATGCCATCAGGGTCCAAATTTACTATTTAAAACAATCTTCTTTTTATTTATTTATTTTTTTGAGATGGAGTCTCGCTCGCTCTGTCGCCCAGGCTGGAGTGCAGTGACGTAATATCAGCTCACTGCAACCTCTGCCTCCTGGATTCAAGTGATTCTCCTGTCGCATCCTCCCGAGTAGCTGGGATTACAGGTGCACACCACCGTGCCCGGCTAATTTTTTGTATTTTTAGTAGAGACGGGGTTTCGTCATGTTGACCAGGCTGGTCTTGAACTCCTAACCTCAGGTGATCTGCCTGCCTCGGCCTCCCAGAAAACAATCTTCTTTAATAACTTTGGGAAATGTTTTTGTCATTATATAAATTTTCTCACTTGTAGTTCTTTGCCTTGGAGAAAAAAAATCAAATTACTGCTCTGTCTGTGGGCATGAATTTTGAAAATGATAAAGGTTTTTCTACTGGGTTGTCACTTAAATTTTGGCTTGTGCTGCCCTGGAATGACCATTATGACTTAAAAAAAATATATTTATTGAACTTGACTGGCAGTGGGACTTATAAAAATGTGCAAGATTGTTTTGATATTTGGTTTAGAATTTTTCTTCTCTGTCATTGAAAGAGACTCCGAGGAAAAACAGAAAATGAGACATAAAATAACTTTTTTTTCTTCTAAACAAAGACTTAAGGGAGAAAACATAGATAACCTTCAAATGTAATTGAGTTAACATGAAGACATTTTAAAAATTACCCATGATTCTGTCAGCCTCATATAACCATTCTTTACATTTTTAAACCAAATTCTAAACTAATCTGTTTAGTTTTTTAAAAATTAAGGAATTAAGTTATTTAGGAAAGCCATTAGAATGAATGAAAAGATATCTAGATGCTACCTCATTTTGCTTTTTTGGAGAAATGTATATAATAAGTTGGTAATTTAGAATTAATTTATGTTAGTTTATATCTTCCAATGGGAACATTGCGTTTTTTAGTTACTGCCTGGCCTGACAGTATGCAAAGAGGCCTGGGGCCCTGTAAAGGGGACATTTCCTGGAAGAATTCTCTGTTGTATATGGAAAAACCCTGGCTCAGAGTAGAATTCTTGCCAAATTGTCTAAGCTGATGGATTCTAGTTGAATACCATTTTGCTTTATAATATAGCCATCTAGTTTCACACTGGTTTCTATATTCTTAAAATACTTGAGGGTCTACCTGAAAGATGAATTAAAATATTAATCTATCAAAACATATTATCTTACAGTAATTAGAGGTAGAATCTTAAAAAGTAATTTATAAGTTTTTGTTGTTGCTAATGGGTAGGGAAAAAAATACCAAAGTGATAATTCTGTTTTCAGGAAGGTAAAACTAAAAAGATTATTTAAGATCAGTATCCTTTCCAGACCTGTTTATTCTCAGACTGTTGAGATGAACAGCATTTACCAGACATTCCTACCTTCTAATTCAGTTGTCTTGGATACTGAATAGACCCTCATTCTTGGCTCATTAACAAAACAGATGTGAGAAAGAATATTGTGTGGTTTTTCAGCCATAATGGTTATGCTGTTAGGATACATGAACAGCCTTTCTGTATTTGGAGTTTCTGTGGTTTTCTGCCATTATCTGTGTTAATATTAATGACTTTCTTTGGCTAGCCACTGCTTAAAAAAAAAAAAAAAAAAAACTATTGAGATTCAGCAAAACCTTGTCACACAACTGATGCATTCTCTTATACATTAAAATGTGGGCATTTTGTGGTTTGGTTACAATAAAAAATTGTGTGCATTAGTCTGAAATGTCAGTTTAAGGAAATGAAGAATTCTTTGTTTTTTGTTTTTTGTTTTTTTTTTTTTTTGAGACAGAGTTTTGCTCTTGTCGCCC